CTCCCCCCTCCCCTCTCCTCCCCCTCCCTCGCGACTCAGACACTTAATTTCATGTCCGAACGCCCCGAGAGACCTTGAGAGTGGTGCACGGCGGGGGAGAAGGGTGGGGGGGAGGTGTTGATCGGGTCTGCGCTGCGCCCACTACCCCCTGCTCCAGAAAGGGTACACCCTTTCCCTTCGCCCCGCAGCAGGCCGGGTTAGTCTTAACGGCGTCATCACCACCCCCCCTTCCCCGTCACCCCGCCGTTGCGCCTCTCGTGCCACTGACTGACCTGTTGCCTGCTGTTGCAGAGCACCCTCACCGACACGGGGTGGAGAGGGGGGGGGGGGCAGCGACGCACAGCGAGGACGGGGCTGGGCCGAGGGGGCGCTCGAAGCAAGCGCGAAGCGAGGAGATGAAGACAGGTGAACGCCGAGGATCAACACGTTCTCGTTAGCTTCACTGGAGCGGCAAATGGCTTCCCTCCGGGGTCACTGAGGCGGAGCGACGTCAGGTGGAGGGTGCCACGCCCCCCCCCCCTTTCCTCTTTTCCCATCCCTCACGCGCGGAGAGCGCGTGCACTAACGAGACCCGTAGCCCATCCTCGATCCGCCAATTGGCAATTATCTGGCTTCGAGCGAGGATCAATAATTTCTCCCCTGATGGGTGGAAGCGCATACTACAAGTACGAAACGCGCCTTTTCCTGTGTCTGTTCAGTTCAGTTTTATTTTAGAAAAGTAAGTACATATACAATTTTATGGTCTGTGACCCGTGAATCAAGACGAGACACGCCCCTCCAAGGCGTTCGCAGCTGGCTCCAGCACGTGTCTGTGCCACGCGGAGGGGGTGGGGGACCTCGGGCCTTCAGCTGCACGACACCCGATCCCCCCGGAGGAGTGCCCCGACAGCGGCTACTTGACTTGACCACGCCAGCGCAGCTGTTCTCACCCCCTGGTTGTCACCTCCTGCCGCAGACGCCGGCGCGCGAGGCCTAGAATGACCCAGTCCCGAGAGGCGCTGACCATCATGGCGGAGTCGGGTCCAACCTTCAGCAAGGCGGGCACCCTGGCCGTGCCGCGGTGGGCGGCGCTCCTGGCCGCCGCCGTGTTCGTGGTGAGCCTGGTCGTGACCGGGCTGGTGGTGTACTCGCTCACCTCCTGCCCGCCCGCCCCCGCCTCCCCGGACGAGGCGGCGCGGGCGTCGGGGGCTCTGGACGCGGCGGGGCCGGGCGGCGCCAAGGACAAGATCGACGTGCGGCTGCCGCGCAGCGTGCGGCCCGTCTCCTACGAGATCAGCCTGCTGCCCTTCATCAAGGTGAGGAGGATGCACAAGCGCCACGCGGGAGGCCACCAACCGCCCTGTGCGATGACACCGTCTAATCGTTTTTGTGCTCGCAGGGAAACTTCTCCTTCAGGGGCGAGGTGGCCATCATCCTGAACGTGACGGAGGCCACCAACAACGTGACGCTCCATGCGCACGAGTTGGCCGTGGACGAAAGCTCGGTGGCGCTGACGCTCCAGGACGTTGATGCGTCCACGGGCGTTCCCCTGGGGCGGCAAAGCCGTGACCCCAAGCGCCAGTTCTACGTGATCAAGACCAAGATGCCGCTGAAGCCGGGCACTTACCGGATCAAGCTCAAATTCACCGGGATTCTCAGCGACGACCTACAGGGCTTCTACCGCAGCTCGTACATCGAGCGTAACGTGACCCGGTACGTATTGCCCCCGCGCCCGTCCTCGCGCCCCGGGCCACCCTCCTCATCGCCGTCCTCGCCCTGCCCTCAGCTGGGTGGCCGTGACGCAGTTCCAGTCAACGGACGCCCGGCGCGCCTTCCCCTGCTTCGACGAGCCGGCCCTCAAGGCCCGCTTCAAGCTGCACCTGGCGCGGCCCGTGGACATGACCACCGTCTCCAACATGCCACAGCAAAGGAACTCCACCAGGGTGTGAGTATTGCTCCACAGGCATGATAGCACTTAATGATTTTCACCGTCGCGAAAAGTGGAACGAATAAAGTTGAACGTGTGCTTTTTTGTCCGACAGGGATGGCGTACCCGGCTACGTCTGGGACCACTACGAGGAGTCCGTGCCCATGTCCACGTACCTGGTGGCCTTTGCGGTGACGGACTTCGAGAGCAGGCGGAGCAGCATGCGGAACGGCACGTTCGCCGTGTGGACGCGGAGCGAGGCGGTGGACCAGGCCAAGTACGCCCTGGAGATCGGCCCCCGCGTGCTCGAGTACTTCGAGAAGTACTTCAACATCAGGTACCCGCTGCCCAAGATGGACATGATGGCTCTGCCGGACTTCGCGGCGGGCGCCATGGAGAACTGGGGGCTCATCACGTACCGGGAGATCGCCATGCTGTACCAGGAGGGCGTGTCCATGACCAGCAACAAGCAGCAGGTGGCGACCGTGGTGGCGCACGAGCTAGCGCACCAGTGGTTCGGCAACCTGGTCACGCCGTCCTGGTGGTCCGACCTCTGGCTCAACGAGGGCTTCGCTAGCTACGTCGAGTACTTCGGCGTTAATGCGGTAAGCAATTGAAACCTGTCCTGATGCCTCGTGCTTGGTCTGGGTATGGTCATGGTGCCGCCAGGGGTTCGGGTAGGCCGGCCCGTGCTGCAGCTGTGTGCGGCGGGACGGGCTACCTCACGGGCGCCCTCGGGCTGGGTATGGTGCCGCC